GGTAGATGACATCGGCGAGGTGAGGCGCTCTCGGGGACCCTTCTGAAGGGGCTCGCGACGGGAGCGCCTGTGCGAGCAGGTTTAAGGCGCGTCCGCCAGCACGGCTGGCGTGGCAGGGCGCGGCAGGGCGCGGCAGGCGGCAGCCCTCCCCGTGCGCGGTCGAGTACACGTGGGTACGAGCGGTCGCCGCGCGCTGGTTGGCCTCGCCGCGCGTGTCGAAACGTGCGCGACGCCGCGCAAGATGCGAGCGCATGCGGCTGGCAGACGCGCTCGCGTTTTTTAAACGTTAAAGTATTCGCGGCGCATATGCGCCCGCTGCGCGGCCCCATTGGCGCACCGCCCGCCCTGAGCGCGCCGGCGGGACACTTGGCGAGACGGACGGCCGCCATGCAGCGGGCCGGATCGGTGCGCGCTGATCGCGATCCGCATGTAATGCCGCGCGCGTCAGCAAGCGGCCGGCGCCCGCCTTTACAGCGTCAGAGAAGCATGACGTGTTTCGCACACCGCAGACACGACACGTCCGTGCACATGTGCCGTGGTGGGATGCGAGCACATCGATGGCGATCCGTCACACACACCTCGTATCGACACGACACGACATCCTACCCCAACACCGCTTCAATCCATCGAATCTGGAAGCACACCGCCCACGCTGCATGTCCTCCCCCGCCGCTGCGCCGCGACCCTTCTACAGAGCACCTCTCGCCGCCGTCGTCTGCACCTGCCCAGATCCGCACAGACATGCCCGCCGCCATCCCCCCCCCTATGCCCAGCAGCCCCGCTCGGGTTGTCGCACATGCGCTCCGCCCGCTCACCCGCCGTGCTAGAGCCGCCGCCACCCTGCCCCCTGGTCCATCTCACACTTGCACGTCCCCCGGCATACACCGACTCACACACCGTCCGCCTCGTGCGCGGCAGCCCCGGCACGGCAGCGTGAACACGCTGCCGCGCCCCCGTGCAGACTCCTTTCCCTGCCCCCCTGCTTCCTGTTGTGCAGGCCGCGCGCGGCGCGAGTGTTGACACCTGACATCAGGAGGCCTTGTACTCAGCGCCGTGGGGATGCGCACGTCAACGGAATGCTCACACGTGCATGCTGTATGGATGCAGTAAAGCTTTAAATGTACAACTGTAGTAAATGTTTTAGAGCAGCGCCAAGCCTGCATCGCTGCCACCCCCTCTGATGACGCGTGTTTCTCCGCCGCCGTGTTTTCGAGGCGAGCCCCTATGCGATGAGATCCATACAGACAGTGCCCTTGGGTACTGGGCCGTAGGGTTCTTGCTGGCATGCTCTACACGCCATGCGTCTGTGTCCTGCGCTACTGCAGTGCCCTCTCGATGAATGCAACTTTCCAGAAAACACATTCGGTTCCAGTTATCGTGAGATTCCACTTATCAAAGGTTTCTACCTTTGATAAATGGAGCCTCCCGATATTGGCAATGACGAATCCAGTCCCCCATAATGTCATTGAAAATATATATAAGTACTTGGGCTTGTGATTTTTATCAATGTTGTCAGGGTCGTGAGTGTCTTTGAACATTTTTTGATTGTTTCCAGGCAAATGTGGCCTGAATTCTCCTCATTACAGTACATGTATTTTTCAAAACTTTCAACTTCTTTTTGGGAAACTTTAAAGAATTTTAGCTTTTCGCTGCGATGCGATGCCTCTGACGTTATCAGGAGTCTCATCGCAGCCGGTTCCTGGGAACGGTGGGACCACCTGCCAGTGCGCGTGCACACTCGTGCCTCCTACCTAACAAGTAGCCGGACGCAGTTAGCACAGCTTGATGTCGACTAGCTCCAGCCTAGATAGCGTCAGGGGCATGGGTATTCCCCTCCGCGTAGAGCAGGCGCGTAGAGCAGGTAGTTATGAAGGAATCAGGACGAGGCCGACCAAGCATACTGCAAGTCGAGTACAACACTGGGGAGAAGGTTAAGGCTATCTCACAATCTGTGGAACCTTAAGGTTATAGGCGACTTTCTGGCTTCCGAATCGGTGAGAATCGAAGGGGGTAAGACATGCTTCAATCTGCTGAGCGGCGGTTCACGAAGCTTGGGTGTGAGTTCAAGAGACGGGGTTTTTCTAAAGCTCAGTACCGACATCGTGACGAATGGCGTCCTGGGAGTCGGCCCGCCAAATTCCAGGTGGGTGAGCGCGCATATGGAGAGAAGACGTGTCGTCCGGGAACAAGAGACTAACAGGATTACTCTGCACGCTGGCACAATGTACTTAATCGGCAAAGACGATGCTGAAGAGCAAGCAAGTGTGACATTTAGCGATGTTGCTCCGACGCTCGCCGAAACGAAACTTAGGCGATGGTCATGCGAGACAGTATCAACGGCGCGTATAGCGTTTTCGCGCACAGTATATCAAGCGTAGTCCACGATCCGCAACTGCGGTGCGGGAAAAGCGCGGCGCGAACTGCGGCGGTAAGGCCCAACGAGGAGCCGGGCAAGGCGTAGTTTTGCCCGTCGTGGCTTCTGGGCTTTTACGAAGCCAGTCTGCAAAATGCACAAGTCGGTGAGAAGTGCACGAGTCGACACGAAATACGCATAGCCTTGAGATATGTATTTAAGTCCGCATTTGATTAAGGCAGCACAATCGGGGGGAGAGGCAGGGAACTTCAAGAACCCCCGCTTGGTGACAGTGCCCTCCGAATTTTGCTCAGACTCCGTCTCCCTTCGACACTGCCCGTCTCCCCAAAAGCAATCTCTCTAGCTCAAGCTAAAGTAGTCGGATCACGCAGACCGATTCCATTTATCAAACGTAGAAACCTTCGATAAATGGAGCCTCCCGATATTGGCAATGACGAATCCAGTCCCCCAAAATGTCATTGAAAAATAAATATTTGGGCTTGTGATTTTATCAATTTTGAGTGTCTTTGAACATTTTTTGGTTGCTTCCAGGCAAATGCCTTGATAAATAGAGTCTCACGATAACTGGAACCGAATGTTTTTTCTGAATTGGCAATGACGAATCCAGTCCCCCAAAATGTCATTGAAAAATAAATATTTGGGCTTGTGATTTTATCAATTTTGAGTGTCTTTGAACATTTTTTGGTTGCTTCCAGGCGAATGCCTTGATAAATAGAGCTTCACGCAATGGAACCGAATGTTTTTTCTGAATTGGCAATGACGAATCCAGTCCCCCAAAATGTCATTGAAAAATAAATATTTGGGCTTGTGATTTATTAATTTTGAATGTCTTTGAACATTTTTTGGTTGCTTCCAGGCAAATGCCCTGATAAATGGAGTCTCAAGTGTCGGAAAACTTCTATGAACAGTTTTCGGGGTCTGTCGGGGTAACCCTGACAGCAGGCGCACAAGAGCCTGTGTCGTTCCGTTCGGGAACGCGGGTTCGGGTGAAGACGGAGATGCGACTGCCCGCACGGGAGGGTGTCGCCAGAGTTGCAGCATGCAGCTGTGTTTACTTGTTCGTCTTACCGGGGACGGTAATCGTTGAGGAGCGAAGCGAAGCGCGTAGTCTAATCCGCAGCGATTGCACGGTCGCCGTTGCTGACAAAGGACTCTGCGACTAATTGTACTATGGAGCTAGACTACAATTAAACGGCCACGACCCTTGGTCTCCCTTAACTCTTACCTTCTCGTCAATTGACCCTTCCGACCTTTCGACCCTTCCTCTCCCTTTGCTTCAATCCAGTGCACGACAGTCGATCCATGGCACAGTCTGAGACTTCTGTAATGCTGACAATTTACAACACACCGCGAGCGTGTCCCTTCTGACACTCAGGATAGCTGGAACCAAATGTTTTTTTCTGAATTGACAATGACGAATCCAGTTCCCCAAAATGTCATTGAAAATTTAATACTTGCGCTTTTTGATTTATATCAATGAAGAGTGTCCTTGAACTTTTTTTGGTTATTTCTAGAAAATGTACCCTAAATTATCCTCACAGTACATTGTTTTTCAAAACATTTTTAGGAAATTTTGAAGAATTTTAGCTTTTCGCCGTTATTGAATCGATTAATCAGTGTTGATTTCAGGTGAGGCTCCATTTACCGGGGGTTACAGGCAACGCGATACCGCTGTTCAACATCACAACAACCCTACCCAAGAACCCTACATAAACAGCCATTGACTAGCTAGTGTCAATCGGACCGTTAGTCCTCACATGAAGACAAAAGTTAATTCATTTTTTCTGGACAACGCAAGGCGCGATTTCACAGGAAACCGTGGATATCAAAGTTGAAATGAATAAAAATAAAATTCGCAGCTTTTTATGTTATGATAACGCTTGGTCGGACAGAAACTTGACACGAGAGTCACCGCACCTGGCTTACGCTGTGTAGACACCTGTCCTATGCAGTCCAAATATTCATGCATCAACTCCCGTTGTTCGTTCCGTAGGGTAGATCTATCCGACCGGGGCTTGTCCTCACATGAGGATGGCAGTGTCCACATATGAGGACAGCTCTTTTTTTGCAAAAATATATAAATTAAATTGAACATTCAAAAAGCTACCTTGAGCACTATTTCCTTGACGTGCTTGTTTTCGGCAATAGCATCTTGCAGAACACCGGGATAGCAGCTTTGAATATGCAGAACGGTTAAGAATGTAATGCAGATTGAGTACCAAGTTGCCTTTTTAAAATGGCGTTTTTGGTTTCGAAGTTATTTAACATGTGGTTTTGAGGTGGTATAAAATAGCTTGTTTTTCAGGCATATCTAAAAACAACCACGAAGAACAAGCGATTCTCACAAAGTTCTTTCCGGTGCCAAGTCAGAGGTCAAGTACGGTGGCACGGGTATCTTTTCTTTCTTGTCGAGGAAGCGAAAGTCAAGAACAAAATTGGTCGAATAATGTCCTCATATGAGGACAATGGTCCGATAGGCGGAAGTCTTCACAGAATGACAAACTGTAGAGCCATAGACCCAAAAAACTGCATTTACATAGATGCATCGTACATGTTTCGGAAAACCTGCACCCCTTTTTACGTAAACACAAATGGGAATCTCACATTTTCTTGATGACTTTTTCACTTGTCGACATCATTTGTCTGTGCCTAAGTGCGTGCCGTGTGCCCCCCGCTCCCCCCCCCCCCCCCCCCCCCCCTGCCAAAACCTGAAACCTTGCAGGAACCGTGTTCCCGGCGACAAATGAGACATCCTTCCATGCAGAAGCTGCTCTCAAAACCACCAACCATTCCACGTAGTTCACACATTTAAGCATCAATCTGCAGAAGTGCTTCCATCGTCCCCTCAGCATGACAACATAACGAGCTGTGGGGTCGCTGTGGGGCCCGGACAGCACGACTACATTCATGCGCATATGCCGCGAAACCTTCACTCCCTTCTTGACACACACAAACATCATGAATCACCCCTACTAGAGGAAGCCCTTCTACTTCTATGCTCTTTCTTGATGACATATGTACATAAAGATATACTGTATTTGTGTTTCTGGAGTTTGTCGGCACTGTTGGACAAATATCGGGCGAAGCGGGTACCTCACCCGGATCAAATGAGGAAGCCTGTTTTGAAACTTGTTTCACGGTTGTCAAAAAATACTGCTTCCCGTCCTTGTCACGCGTAGGGAATCTGGCTTGGAAAACATCCTGTTTTGTTTCCTGAAGGTCCTAGTGTCTAGCCGACAAGTGACCTCAATTGAGGCCATTTGACCTCATATGCGGTCACTTATATGAGGTCAAATGGCCTCAATTGAGGAAAGTTGTTGGCTAGACACTAGCGCACAAGCCTCGGTCGGGTAGATCTACCCGACCCGGGCTTGTCCTCATATGAGGACAGCTCTTTTTTTGCAAAAATATATAAATTAAATTGAACATTCGAAAAGCTACCTTGAGCACTATTTCCTTAACCTGCTTGTTTTCGGCAATAACATCTTGCAGAACACCAGGATAGCAGCTTTGAATACACAGAACGATTAAGAATGTAATGCAAATTGAGTACCAAGTTGCCTTTTTGAACTGGTGTTTTTGGTTTCGAAGTTATTTTACATGCGGTTTTAGGGTGGTTTAAAAGAGCTTCTTTTCCAGACATATCTAATAACAACCACCGAGAACATGCAATTCTCACAACGTTCTTTCTGGTCCCAAGTCAGAAGTCAAGTACGGGGGCGGGGGCATCATTTTCTTACTTGTCGGGGAAGCGGAAGTCAAGAATAAAATGGGTCGAATACTGTCCTCATATGAGGACAATGGTCCGACAGACACTAGCAGGGCATGGTGCAGCAGGGCATGGTGCAGCTATCGATCTGCACATTAAGACAAAGACCAAAGACACACACACACACACACACACACACTCGCCACGTGCCGGTTTCTATGGTATATGTCCTTGGTCGTGTTTGCTGCCCGTTCCAAATCTGCTTCCAAGAGGAGAAGGTCCTAACTTTGCAACATCGAGACTGCTGCAGCAGTTCAATTGAATCACTCGTGTATCTTGTACGGTGATGGCGTGCACAGCTTCGTGAAGTCGTCGGGTACTGTATATAAAGGATGAAGCTCAACATAGAAGGGGTAACCGGATCATTCTCCTACCATCTCTCACACGCCCGCACTGCAATCCCTCAAGCGACCTTTGAGTCATTTTTTCCACAGTAAACAAGAAGCAAGGCATCAACACATTTAGAAAAACTTCACCATGAGGACGGTTGGGTTGTTCTGTATCATTCTTCTCATTGGACTCGCCGCCGGCTTCGAAGGAAACTTGACGAAAGAAGTACGTCAAGTCGATGGAGACGCCCCAGTTACTATGCGCCAAGCCGAAATGACAAGCAATGGAGTTCGCCAAGTTTACCCAGCATCTCTTGTTGGTTACTACGCTTGGACATGGCCATACACACCCACACCTGGCCTTTATAGCGCGACCATGTCTGTCGCTTTTAGCGGATTCACAAATGCCCGGACAGCGTTGGATAGGAGCAAGAAGGTGTATCGCACGCTGAAAGGGGATAAGTACATCGCGTTTGGAGGGGGAACCGAACCAGGAAGATTCACACGAGCCGGCATTGCTAGCATTAATGCGGTAATCTCCGGTGGACTTCTATCCGGCTATTCCGGAATTGTGTACGACGTTGAGGCGGGGGACAGTGGTCTTCGTGGTGATTTTGCCAGATCGTTTGCTCTGGCTAAATCGTATGACTTTTCAGTTGTCGTGACGGTGAGCCACTCCGCACCGTACGGAATCGAGGATGCTGGCACCCTGATGGACTCGTTCTTATCTTCACGCAACATCGACTACATCTCCCCGCAGCTGTACACGGGCGGAACGGAATTCTCAAACGATTACAGCATTTCCAGCGGGTATGGATGGTACAAGTACCAGAATTCCTACCCACGCGTGGTGGTCTCCATCGTTCAAGCTAGGCTCTACGATGATGCCTTCAAATATTTCAGGAACATCCGGATTCCGTTGAGTGGGTACATCCAATGGGCGCAGTGATATTTTAGCGATACGCCTCTGAGGTTAATGTAGCAGCCCTTCACTTCCTTTCCGTGCACACCGTAATGTCACAATGCAATGCGGGCAATTACAGTTTATGCACATAATCCGCACCCCCTAGGATAGGATATTCCGTAAGATGCGTAGCGTCGTACAGTACCCTTGGTACAGTGTGTTTGTTGCTTTTAGGTTCTGATCCAGTCGATCAGCCTTTTGTAAACGGCGATAGAAAAGAAAGATTTTTTTTTACGCTCTTGATATGAAAATTTAGTGAGTGTCTATGTAGTGTCTGTCTATTGGACTGTTGTCCTCACATGGGCACAAAAAAATTATCGAAAACTGAACACAGTTTTCGACATATTTTTTTCATGACTTGCACTTTCTCGACATGAAAGAAAAGATAGGCCCGCCGCCGTACTTGACTTCTGCCATGGGACCAGAAAGAAGTTTGTGAGAATTGTGTCGTATCTTACACGTGTACATAGCTCCACCGGTACTTAACTCCTAGCCCTTTTTAATTAAGGATTTTCCCACTATAGTGTTACGGGTAAACCCAGGTGCCAGGTGGCAGGGTGGACACGCGTAAGGCGAATCAAAGCCGACACGGCCGGAACCGAGGCGTACCAACCGAAAGGCAGTAGAAGTGGCGGGATCATGCGCGTGGGGAACTGTCGGCGGCAGACAGAGGGAGGATGAAGGGAAACCTGTGGCTGCGAGGGAACTTGGACCGGGACAAGAAGACGGGGGAGGCTATCGGCCGTGTGGGTGAAAGGAAAGGATCAGGAGGAGGGCGCCAGGACTGGGGCAGAGGGAAGCTGAAGGGAAAGGGGGGCGCCAGGAGAGGTCGGGGGAAGAGAGGACGGCCCCCGGGCATAGATTACTTAAGAGCCGTCCCTGGAGCAGATAGGGAAGGGGACGGCAGCAGACTTCTGAAGAATAAAGACGAAGACGAGTGGATCCTCGTTGGCACAGGTCGCTCGGTATTTCGCGGAGGAATTGCCGCAACAGTAGTGAACACAAATGGGAATCTCACAACTTCCATTCTTGATGACTTTTTCACTCGTAGACATCATTTGTCTGTGCCCAAGTACGTGCCGTGTGCCCCCTGCCAACACCTGAAACGTTGCAGAAAGCGTATTCTCGGCGACAAATGAGACATCCTTCCATGCTTTTGCAGAGGCCGCTCTCTCAAAACCACCCTTCCACGTAGTTTTCATATTTAAACATCAATCTGCACAAGTCCTTCCATCGTCCTCTCAGCACGACAACGCAGCGAGCTGTGGGGTCCGGACAGCGCGACTAACGGTTACATACAGTACATGCACATATTTCGCGAAACGTTCACTCCTTTCTTGACAAACACAAACATCTTGAATCTCCCCGACTAGAGGAAGCCCTCCTACTTCCACGCTCTTTCTTAGTGGCATTTTAGTCTGTGGAAGTCTCTTACGTTTGCCCACGTACGTTCCGTGTGCGCCACCCTGCTGTCACCTGCGACATTGTTGTATGGCGGATGTTGACACGACGGATGTTGACATCCGCCATACAACAATTTCGCAGGCATCAAGTGCTGCACTAAAAGCCCTCGCGATACTGGAGTACGAACGATTGTACTCACAATCAGGGGAAATTCGCTTCCCTTCATTTATATATATACAGACGTATTCGTGTGTCTGGGGTTTGTTCACACTGTTTGACAAACAGCGGGCGAAGTGGGTATCTCAAATCAAATGAGGAAGCCTATTCCTGAAACATGATTCATTGTTGTCAAAAATACCGCTTCTCTATTGTGCCACGCGTAGAGAATCTGGCTGGGGATATATCCTGTTTGCTTCCTGAAGGTACTAGTACAGTATGGCATGGTGCGGCTATAGATCTGCACATTAAAACTAAGACCAAACACGCACACACGACGTGCCGGTTTCCTCGACATATGTCCTTGGTCGTGCTTGCTGCCCGTGGCAAATCTGCTTTCACAATGGGAAAGTCCTAACTTTGCCACATCGAGACTGTGGCAGCAGCTCAATTAAATCACTCGCGTATCTTGTACGGCGACGCCGTGCACAGCTTCTTGAAGTCGTCGGGTACTGTATATAAAGGATGAAGCTCAAGATAGAAAGGGTACCTCGAATCATTCTCCTACCATCTCTCATACGCCCGCGCTGCTCTCCCTCAAGCGACCTTTGAATCATTCCAAAGTAAACAAGAAGCAAGGCATCAACAAATTCAGAAAAACTTCAACATGAGGACGGTTGGGTTGTTCTGTATCATTCTTCTTACTGGACTCGCCGCCGGCTTCGAAGGAGACTTGACTTACTACTTTCCAAGCGCTGGCACGTCCGCCTGTGGAAGAGACCATAGCGATCTTGACTTTGTGGTAGCGCTCTCGCCTGAAGATTTCATCGCCACTCTGAATCCGAACGAATCTCCATCCTGTCAACAATGTGTGCTCATCACTGGCCCTACAGGTGCGACCGTCAAGGTTCAAGTGACCGATAAATGCCCCGGATGTGTCAAGGGCGCTCTTGACGTGAGCCCCGCCGCCTTCGACGTGATAGCCCACCGCGACGTCGGCAGGATTCGAGTGTCCTGGGAATATGTGCCTTGCGATGGAGACAATCAAGGTACTATGCGCCAAGCCCAAGTGGCCAGCAATGGAGTTCGCCAAGTTTCCCCAGCATCTCTTGTTGGTTACTACGCTTGGACATGGCAAAGCACATCTGGCCTTTCCGACGCGACCATGTCTGTTGCTTTTAGCGGATGGACAGATGTGCAGAACGCGTTGAGAGACAGCGGGAATGTGTACGACTCGCTGAAGGGGGCAAAGTACATCTCGTTTGGAGGGGGAAACGAAAATGGAAGATTCACACATGCCGGCATTATAGGCATCGATGCGGCAATCACCGGTGGACTTCTATCCGGCTATTCCGGAATTGTGTACGACGTTGAGGAGGGGGACAGTGGTCTTGCTGATGCTTTTGCCAATTCGTTTGGTCTGGCTAAATCAAATGGGTTTTCAGTTGTCGTGACTGTGAGTCACTCCGCACCGTACGGAATCGCCGATGCCCACACCCTGATGGGTTCGTTCTTATCTTCATCTAACATCGACTACATCTCCCCGCAGCTGTACACGAGTGGAACGGAAGTGTCAAACGATTACGACATTTCCAGCGGGTATGGATGGGAAAACTACCAGACTTCCACCCCAGCCGTGGTGGTCTCCATCGTTCAAGCTAGCTTCTACGATGATGCCGTTGGATATTTCAGCAACATCGGGGTTCCGTTGAGCGGGTACATTCAATGGGCGCAGTGATATTTTAGCGATACGCCTCTGAGGCTGTTGCAGCCCTTCACTTCCTTCACATGCACACCGTAATCTGATAGTACAATGCGGGCAATTACAGTTTATACACAGAATCCGTACCCTCTACGATAGGATATTGGGTATGATGCGTAGCGTCGTACAATATAGTTGTTCCACTTTGGTTCTGATCCAGTCGACCAGCATTTGTAAACGGCGAGAGAAAAGAAAGGTGTACGTTATTGATATGAAGATCCTGGTGTCTGTGTATTAGACCGTTGTTCTCATATGCGGACAGTTTTCGACATATTTTTTTCTTGACTTGCACTTTCTCCACAGAAAGACAAAGATACCCCCGCTACTAAATTTGACTTGTGCTGTGAGACCAGAAAAAAGTTCGCTCGAATTGCGTGTTCTTCCCGGTCTTTTTTAGATATATGTCTGGAAAAGAAGCTTTTATAAGCCACCCTACACCTGCATGAAAAAATACTTGGAAACCAAAAACGTCAGTTTGAAAACGCAGCCCTTAATCTGTATTCCATTCTTTATCTTTCAGCGTGATCAAAACTGCTATCCCAGTGTTCTGCAAGATGATATTGCATGTTAAGGAAATAGTGTCCAAGATAACTTTTTAAATAATCGACTTAATTTATATATATCTTAAAAAAAGAGCTGTCCTCATAATATAATAACGCATTATGACGACAAGTCCTGGTCGGATAGACACTACAGTACTGTAGCCCTGTGCGCCAAAAAGGGAGAACTTCAGATTTTGAGATTCGTGGAATTACGCAAAAACGGAATTCTGTCTAAACTTCCGACAGCAAGGATAGCCCAGTCTACTGTATGCGTGATTTGCGGACAGAATTCTATTGCAGAAAATTAGAAAAACGTAAATTACGCAATCCCCTCGGCGTCGTTCATTGTGAGTACAAGTTCCCATAGCCTAGAGAATCTCGTTCTCCTTTGGACACTCACACTATGGGATCTGGTAGGCAAAGGGATTTTACCAAAGCAAAGACTAAGGAGACTATGAAAACATGGCAAGTTGCCTTGGTATCCATGAGCGTAAAGCGCATGTCAGGACATACATCAGCTTTCACCAATCTTCTAACGATACCATATCCTGCACTCAAATACCAAGATGCAAGAGAAGAATTGTCCAAACACCTTTCTGGGAGCAACCGCATCAGCTCTGCAGACTTTATGTTCAACTTCAACTCCTATAGTCAGGCGTCATGTCTCTTCCTGTTCAGATTTGGAAGGTCTGATGTCCTGAATCTTGTTCCTTTTATTGGATGGCCAACGCACAAAACGAAAACGACAGGCAATCGCTATAGGACAAATCCAATTTTGTCGACATGCATTATGCTGCGGAGCCTTGCAACGCCGCTTCGATGGAAAGAGCTGGAAGTAGAGTTTGAAAAGCATTCTTCCCAGCTTTGTAAAATTTTTTGGGAAACAATAGAATGATTTGCAGAGGAGCGGATGCATATACTCACGAAGCCATTTCCGCAATCATTTATGGAACGCCGACGTACTTTGTATTCCAAATGCATATTCGAAAAGTCCAATGCACTAAGGAATTGCGTCAGTTTCATTGACGGTACAATGATTGGTGTTGCCAGACCGGGAGGATTTAGAAAGCAACTAGTGATGTACAATGGACACAAAAGAAAACACGCAATCAAGTTTCAAGCGGTCACAGCTCCAGATGGATTGATTCTGCATGTCTGCGGTCCTGTAGAGGGCCGTGGACATGATTGGACTTTGTACACAAGAACCAATTTAGAGCAGGAGCTACCAGATTGTATGAGCTCAGAACATCAAAATTTCTGTATCTACGGAGATAGTGGGTACGCCAAGAGGTGGGTTTTGGAGGTTCCTTATCAAGGAAGCAATCTCTCAGCATCTCAAAGAGCCTTCAATAAGGCCATGTCCAGCGTTCGGATTACTGTCGAGTGGGCGTTCAAAGAATTGAAACTTTACTTTACAGCCATGGACTTCAAAAGAAAATTAAGGATTGGACAGTCACCAGTGGGCCTGCTCTACCTGTGTGCAATGCTACTTTACAACATTAGAAATTGTGCAAGTCCAATGCAGATTTCCCAATTCTTTCGCTGTTCTCCTCCTTCTGTAGAGCAGTACATCCACCATAAAGAATAAACCGCTATCCTATGAAACGACAGACTCCTGCTCGCGCGCGCCCTGCGCGAGCAGAAAAATTTGTGCTAACACAACAAAGACGCAACTTTTATTTAGTAACACGGACTTCAAAGCAATAAAACATGACTATCATTACTTGCTCGTAAAAGCCGCCATCATGAGCTTGAACTTGTCCAGCTCGAGCTGTTGCGCTTCCGAACGCTCAATGCGACGTTCTTCACGATCCCGAGTGCGCTCCTCACGATCGCAGGCCATCCTCTCTCGCTCAAATGCCAGCCGATCGCGCTCCAAGTCCACTCGAGCGAGATCGGCATCGCGTAGATGGGCTCCGAACTGTGCCATCTCGGCCATTGCAATTCTCGATTTGGAGGTTTTCGACTTCTTAAGGGGCCGCGGAGAAATAGAGTCTTCATCTTCAGTACTGTCCCTGTTTCCAGAACGCTGCAAGGCCGAATTCTTGAGATCATTTCCAATCCGTTCTTTTTCGGCATCACGCTCCTTTCGAGCGTTTTTACAGCGTTTCGTTGCTCTAAAAGTTCATCCCGAGCATCGCGCATGCTCATCAGTAGTTCTTCTAGCTCTCCAACTTCCCCCCCTATCCCCGACATTTTTTGGTTTTTGTTCTCGTCGCGATCGAAGGAATTCTGTAGACGTTGATAGCGGTCCCGGACGCTTTTCCAAGTGACTTGCTGCGTTACTGCCTCATTGCCGTTTATTGTGTCAGAAGTGATGTCGAATCTCTTGCGGGACTCCCCGAACGCGGCGAGATGTGCACGTGATGCTGCAACTTCTCGGACGATTACAAGATCTTCTTCGCTTGTAAAGCGGGAATGGCGCTTTCCTCTGCAAGCGGCGGCGGCGAGTTCTTCGTCAGAGAGAGTCAAAACGTTGGCCATATTGGTTTCAGTGAGTGTGGGCAGGATCGTTGAAAGGGCATAGTTATAGTGGATGGAGGGAAGGTAGAGAGGGAGAGAGGGAGAGGGAGAGAGAGGGAGAGTGGGATGAGAGCGCCGTTCCATGTCTGAAGATCGCGGGAAAACGTCCGCCGTATGGTTTCATCTCCTGGACATCTGTCCTGAAATGTTCCATTTGGCACGATTGAAGTGGTGACTAATGGGTCATTTTTCTGCTTTATTTCTCACGTCTCTCAGCCAGAATTCTGCTCACCGCCCCACGTGTAACTCGTGTCACGAATTCCTCACAATTTCCAAGCAGAATTTTGCTTGCGTAATCTCTCTATTGTCAAAATTTGACCCCCGTCCCGCCAGAGTAACTCACTTGTACAACTGACGACCGCTGATAGAACCGCCTGATCTCGCCTATTCTTTTGATACCATTCTCAAAGTTATAGGACGTCTAGTTCTCGTTTTATCTCTACTGTAGTCAAAAAAAGAGAGAACACTGTGGAGAACGTCTCCTTATTGTTCTCCTCTGGTTAATTTGTTCTCCTCCTGGGAGAACATCTGTTTGCGAGGAGAACTTCTCTCCGGTGAAGTGAACAAAAGTAGTAAAATTGAACGTTGCTCCTGGTTCGAAAGAGAACGTCTCCTTGGTGATTTGCAACTCCCCATCCCGAGTGGCCAATTTCGAAAGGGCGTCAAGAAGGCATTTTAGTTGACCAACATGCCTGATTTATCGCATCGACTTCCTAGCTTTGTTATTCAACTTACACGGTTCTAGTGCAGGAACGACAGATTTTTCAGCTTTCACTTCGAATGCCACGCATCCCACAGTTCTTACATATAGGTTGTTTGCAAGTGCCACACCATTGTACCTCTTTTGCACCGCCCTTCTTTTGAACTATTCTCCCTTTGTAGGTGACCGAATGATTATAAGAGCAAATGCCACAATATGTAGCCTTTGCTTTCACTCTCTCATGTGATTCAGGATTGTTCAGCTGTCTGGCGGCATCTTCAGCGCAATTATATTCTCTACCACGTTTGTGTAATACATGGGAGTTACTTTGCGTTAATTAATGAACTCAGATTGCAAGTTATGGGATACGTTACTTGTTTGGAAGCTGTGCATGTGGTCCGAGACAGACTATTTCCGTGTTCTTTGTAAATACTCCCGAGCCAAGGGTATCTCTTGTGGAGTAATCTGCAGATGGAAACGAAGACAGCGAATCGGATAGGAGTGGGAAGGAAGCGCTGAGCGAGGGTAGCGAGAGGTCGGGAGCATGCGATTGTCTCTCTGTCGAAGCGAGATGCGGAGCGGAGGGGTAATTATGGGAGAGAGGGATGATAGTGAGGTAGAAGGGATTTCGGAACGTCTGCTCAGAGTGGTGAAGAAGCGAAAGTTCGGAGCGGAAGCAGAGGGCGGAGGCGGATGGCAAGTGGGGGACAATTCCCATTGAGAC